TAATATGTTAAATATCTTTCAATCAGACTAAAGTATACTTGGGTCAAAATTTTTAATCGAATTAAGTTTTTTTCCGATCAAAATATTTTTTTATCATAAAAAAGTAACATTATTTCTATCTTTTTTTAAGAGATAAAATAGATAAATATTAACTTTTTAAATTTATTATAAAAAAATTTAAGTTACCTAAATTCTTAAATTTAAGTTATTTACTTTAATAAAAATTTAATTACTTAATTGAGAATTTAACTTAACGAAGGGTTTCCATTAAAAAACAAAAAGAAAAAAACCCTTAACGAAGGGTTTTGCCTTTTTTTTTTTTTTTTCTGTTCTCCTAGTCGCGGGGGTATGAATAAAATACGATTACGGATTTTAATTATTTTTCTGCTGACTGATGGATGAGTAATGCGCCAAGTGCGTGCCAGTTTTTAATTTTCGTTTTAAATTTAATTTGCTATTAAGTACGAAAGCATAGTGGCCTCATTCATTTGATGCTCTCTTCTTGGGAGCTTCGTATGCATATCAAGAGTATCATCAGAGTATTAAGAGATTCTGAACCAACAAGGATTAGTAGGTCCTCAGCAGGGTTGGAGCCAAGGTTTTTAAAACCGAACTGGTTATTGAACCGTTTTTAAGTCTGATTCTTGGTTTAATCGGTTCAATTGATTGAACCGATGAACCAACCGATCCAAACAGCAAGGAAGATTTGATGAGAGGAGCAAGCTGCAGGCATGGATTTTCTAATTTGGTGTTGATAATTTTGTAATTTTGTTAAAATTAAAGGTTAAAATGGGTATAAGAAAGGAATGGAAAGGGTGAAATTGAAAAAAATTGAAAGAAGATTGCATGAGAAATCGAACCGATGGTTTTTTTGGTTCCATCAATTTTCATCGGTTTTTACCGGTTTGATTGATTTTTGACTGATTTTAACATCAAACGATTTTTTTATATAGACCAAACCATTTTCATCATCGGATATCGTTTGACCAGTTCAACCAACCGATCCAGTCCGGTTTTAAAAACCTTGGTTGCAGCATACAAGATAATCCAGAGAAACGAGACATTCTTAGAGGGCAAGATACTACTAGAAACAGAGACTTATTCGGTCAAGCATTTTTGACCAAATAAGTAGAAATATTGACTGAATAAGTAGAAATATTGACTGAATAAGTAGTAATTTGAACAAATTGCTTAATCGAATTATTGGTCCGAATATCTAATCATTGAGATAAAATTTTATCTTGAATGAAAATGTTGGATAATTTTTGTCAAAAAATTTGATCGAAATCTTTTATTTTAGACTGTTTCAGTCAAAATATTTGATTAAAAATGTTATTAAGAAATATTTTATTTTAGATTATTTCGGTGACCGAAATATTATTTTCAAATTCAAAAAATATATACATTTGTGTAATTATAGAATGCATATAATTTCTCTTTTTATATATAATTACAAAATACACTTAATTAATATATAAAAATCTATTTATTTTATCCAAATTCAAATATATCAAAATTTTAAATTGAATATTATACAACAAAATCAAAATTCTATAAAAACATTTAAATTTAAGCTAAATGGTGGAGAGTTAATTACTAACTTTTTTTTTTTTTTTTAGTTTCTCCATCTCTTAACACCAAGAAATAGTTAATCACAAATTACAAACTAAATGGGAAACTTAATGAAAAA